CTGATCATCAGGTTTTCATCAATCATTACCCTAACGCTACCATCTGAACTATCCGACATGCCGACCCCAGTACAGTTGTGCCAAATAACAAACAAAGATACGCCGGTTGAGGAACGCTCCTCTTCCCTTTAAATATGTCACTCATTGCTTCAAGCCACACCCCGCCACACACACCAAACGGAGCAAATGTACCTCAAATTCTGTTCAAGAACGTTGTAGAACGTTTTGGGGAAACGTGTCGTTCAGTACAAACCGTCGTGCATTGTTGCAGACATCTAATCGAACTGAACGCACCCAAGGATTACGGATATGACATTCGCAACATACGAACACGAGGTGAGATGACTACCTGCTCTGGAACATACCAAAAGTATAGTGGTCAGTGAACATTACTTTCTTGAGCTGGCCGCGCCCTGTAGCGGGGATGTAATAGATTCTGAGTTGTACAACATTCTGGATGACAGTCAATAATCAGGCAGCAGTGTGCCACTGACGTCTAGGACAAGTGAACAGCATCTCTGAACTTATTCTGCCATTATATCATCAGCCCCATCATGGACAAGGGCGATTTAATACTGTATGTATATTATTTGACTGTATACCTGGCTAGCTACTACTTTCTATGTAACTAACGTTAAGCCGACTAGCTGGCTAGCCATTTAGCTCGTAACCTTACAAAAAAAATGCTATCTACCATGAGGACACGTGTATTGTGTTGTTTGTGAATATCATGCTTGATATGTGCTAAAAAGCTAGCTAGTTAGTTACCCTCCAATGACCACGAGCTGCGGCATTTCTGTCAAATTAAAGTATTGATCAGTGATTTAAGATTATTTCAGGGTTCAGAAATGGAAGCTACTACATAAAGCATTTATGTGACTGGGACCATGAAGTTTTACGAGAAAGATCTCACGATCATTTCACCAGCGTCTCATTCAACCGTTGTTCCACTGTGTGCAGCTGATAACAGAAATAGGGATTTATCTTCTGTGATCACCTGCTCCTGTACAGCACACTGTAGTGAGGACCCAACATGATATCATGGGAGGGGAGGAGTAGCCCTACCTCTGATAAGAACTAATTGTTAAAATGAGGAAGAATGTTACTAGCTAAATGTGTCGTTATGTGGGTTATGGCTTTTGTTTATATCAATTTCTAAAACATCCATCTTTGCCATTTTATTTCAATTTTAGCCCTAAAGACTTCCCCAAGTTGAAGAATGATACATTCCTTCTTGCATGCGGTGGCCAGGAAACCCCTCATGTGCCTGTGTGGTGTATGAGACAGGCTGGACGCTACCTACCAGGTGGGTCTCTACAACACACTCTCATTAGTCTCTCTAGACATCCAGGTTGCCTCCCACAATTTTCAAATGTTCTGGCTTAACAAGTCTGTACATAATCGAACATCAGTTTGGCATAAAGGAACTACGTCACTACCTTATCCGCTTGAATAAAATGCATAATAGTAGCTAGCAAGATGGAGATCAGAGGTTATTTTTGCATTTCGCAAGTGGCTAGTTTGCATCAACTACCTTCACTAAAACCACTGCACAGGTTTTGCCTGCAAACTTTGGTTTCGAATTGCGACATTCTGGCATGTCTGCCTCGTGATTTGTCTGTCTGAAGTGTACCCACCCCTTATTTATTTTTATTTTTTATCGAAGTTGCCAAAAGGGTTTGTCATAGAAATCAGACCCTAGTCAGTGCTGTTGCCTAGGGTCGGGTTTTCGAGACCATGCTCATGTACTTCACTGACCTAAGAAACACACATTGAACTAACACTACAAATATCAGTAGGTTGTTGTTGTTGGTTGAATGGACCTATCCATCTTTCAGTGTCTGCTGGCATTGACATGTAAGCTAACCTATTTGTTTGTAGAGTTCCGTGAGTCCAGCGCGGGAAAGGACTTCTTTGAAACATGTCGGTCACCTGAAGCCTGCTGTGAACTCACTCTCCAGGTAATCATTACATGTGTTAAACCAGCACGTTTTACTACAAAAACATCTTAGCATAGATGGAGAACTCACTTCTTTTTTCATCTTACAGCCATTGAGACGTTTCCCATTTGATGCTGCCATCATCTTCTCAGACATCCTGGTTATCCCACAGGTAAGAGATATCTGTCTGAGGCAGAAATTTCTTTGCCTTTGCTTCAATCAGAAGTGTTGTGCTTCCTCTTCTCTACATACTAGACAAAGAGAGAACCTTGTGGCAAGAAGGTAATCTATTTGTTTAGTATATTGAGAGGAGGAAGCACATAACTCAGAGACAGTATATGTTATGCTTTTGTTTAACTGGTTAATGACTCTCTGTGTGTGTACCTGTTCCCAGGCCATGGGTATGGCTGTCCAGATGGTGGCAGGAAAGGGCCCTACATTCCCAGAGCCCTTAAAGGAACCAGAGGACCTGCTGCTCCTGCAGTCCAAGGTGGACGTCAACAAGGAGCTGGGCTACGTCTTCAAGGCCATTACACTGACACGCCACAAACTGGAGGGCAAGGTCCCTCTCATCGGCTTCACTGGTGCCCCGGTGAGATGGATCTCTCACACACACACACACACACACACACACAGAGAGAACACTTTTCAATACAGAATCGATTGGTTACTTCAATAGTCAGAAGATACTTTTTTTCAGCCTTGTGTCGTATCTTGGTGTTCTTAGACTAGAGGCTTCAGTAAAATGACCCATATCATCATCTGTTTCCCCCGTAGTGGACCCTGATGGCCTATATGATTGAGGGGGGAGGCTCAACAACCCACTCCAAGGCTAAGCGCTGGCTGTACCTTCACCCTGAAGCCAGCCACCAGCTGTTAAAGATGCTGACTGACATAATCATAGAGTACCTGCTGGGACAGGTGGCTGCTGGAGCACAGGTAAGCAAGGCACCATGGGAGATTGAGTTCCAGCTGTATCTTACTGCAGCTTACCCTCAGGTAGACTGCTAGCCCAGAGTTCTTGCTCATGGGAAAATGTTCAGGTGAATAGAGGGTAGATAATTTTATTTACAGCACTTCATTGGACAAGGAGAAGATGTTACACTTTCTAGAGTCAGGCATAAATGATCTGATAGCTCAATATCTAGGAACTGATGGAATGTTGATTTATTCATGTAGGTCTCTTTTAGGGCCCCTATCATAGACACATTATACAGTAGACATAGTCCTGTATAGATACATGGCACATTATTATTCAGTCTGTTCCACCGTCCCTGTATTTCCCCAGGCTTTGCAGGTGTTTGAGTCCCATGCTGGCTGTCTGGGCCCAGTGGAGTTCCAGGAGTTCTCCCTACCCTACCTACGAGACATCGCCCGTAAGGTCAAGGACCAGCTGAAGGAGTCAGGCCAGGATGTCCCCATGGTGAGCCCACACAGACTGTCACTTCTTCATTCACACACAACACAGACATCCTCATCGTCTTTGTGGATTTCATGTCACTAGATTTTCAAGACAAGCTTTTGTTGATCATCTCCTACAATGTGCTTAAAAAAGGCTTACCGGTCTTGTGGTGAGATAAGATGTTGGCCAGTGTAATGTGATGTTCCACCAGTAGATGGCACTACACTGTCAAAGATTTTCCTGTACAGACTTGTCATCTGGAGTAGTCAGAAATACATTTGAGTTTGTTTTAATGCTTTGAATCATTGTTTGGCATGTCATCGGTCTCAATATTGACATTGGTCAATATTTCACAATTGTTTTGTAATTTAGTTTTTTACTTTAGTGGGTCTTTAAAGTTCCCTGGACTGTACTGTAACTCCCTCATGTTCTGGCACAGATTGTGTTTGCCAAGGACGGCCACTACGGTCTGGAGGACCTCTCTCAGTCCCACTACGAGGTTGTTGGTTTGGATTGGACTATCGACCCTCACTCAGCGCGGTAACGGACATGAACCCTTTTCACAGAAATCAGTTCATGAGTAATTTCCCTAGACAGTCAGTGACCGAGCCAACATTTGCTAGAGGTATTGTGTCATGTTGAAATTGGATTGGATTCACACTCTCTTATAAAAGGTTATATTTATCTGGTCAACAATAAAAACAGGTGGTTCGGTCAACTGTTGACTGAACTCCAGGTTAATGCACCTTTGGTAATAAACCACTTGTCTCTGTGGTTTCAGGGAGCGAACTGGAGGAAAGGTTAGCCTTCAGGGGAACATGGACCCCTGTGCACTATATGCCTCCAAGGTAAGGCCAAGGTTTTTTTGAGATCCAAGAAATGTATATATTGGCAAAGAGAAAACACATGGCACAGAGAGATGTTTCAGTACAAAGGTACTGTACAGTAAAAGCACATAAACCGGCAACCTTTGTGTTATTGGGCCAGGCACTTGCTGCTCTAATTTATACACCCTACTTTCAAAAGTGATGCTTATTTGTCTCTGTCTATCTCTGCCTGTGAAGGAGCGTATATCAGAGATAGTGAAGAAGATGCTGGAAGGCTTTGGCACCAGAGGGTACATTGCCAACCTGGGCCACGGGCTTTACCCTGACATGGACCCGGAGAACGTGGGTGCCTTCGTAGAAGCTGTCCACTCTCACTCTCGGCACCTCCTCAACCTCAAGTAACACCCCTGTCACCTGGCAACATTGACCACAGTCATACTAGCAGAGAAGCAGCACCCAAAAAACAAAGCAACATTGCCTTGGATTGTAGAATGTATTCACAGTAATCCAATAAACCACCAGGTCTTATCAAGTGTGGAATCCAAGGACCGATCACGACGGATCTTGTCCAATTCTGGATGTTTTTTTCTTTCTGAAGAGAATAATTCATTATATTCTATAGATAATCCTTAGACAAATGAAAAACATTGCGTCAGTGTAAGACCTTGTAATATTTCATATTATTTATGTGTATCACTGATCTGTTTTATTCATCAGATGTAGTGCACCTAAAATTGAAAACAAGTGTACCTTATAAAAACAATAGTAGTGAAGGAGATTTAATGTGATTATCCTGAATGGTTGTGAGATTGTCTCAATGCAATCTTTGTTGCACTGCTATTATCTATTATGTATGTGACTGATGTACTGAAGCCTAATCACTCGTGTGTATATTTAGCTCTTAGTTCTTTTTTATTCAGTCAAATAAAGAATGATTATTTTAATTGGACCTGTATTTGAAATGTATCAAATAAATTACATCAGATTTCTATTGGATGTGTTCTGCCTCTGACACACCCTAATCGAGAACTATTGGCTCATCTCATTGTGCCCTCTGCAGTTCACTCCAGGTTTTCTCTAACCAGCAATCTTCCATCTACGACAATACCACTGGTGCTTGCGATTTATTATGGAAACCCATCAATTACAAATGAGATGAAGTGGGGGTCGGGTATGGTTGGCATACTGTACATTATTTAGTTCAAACCAGTTTAGTTCCGGAACTAATCTGTCCAGACTTCATTTGTTTCCACGTTGAACACATTTTTGAAATTGGGAAAAGGCTCTATTGTATTACTGCTTTTGGCTTAAAGGGAAATTATTATAATTAGACTGCATTTTACACAAGGCATAAAAACTGTTAATCCTAATGGGTGTTTTTCTATGAAAGGCCGCTAAGCACTAGAGATAAGTAGATCTGTACAAATCCATTTGTTTTTGTTGTTGGAATAGTGGGAAAAGGATTCCAGAAAAACACATCACGTGATGATAGATGTTTGTGAGTTTTGGTCAGTTTTCCTCCTTTACCTATGCTCCTCTGCGGTGTTGTAGGTTGAATTTGCCCCCAAGACACAGATCTTGGGTCAGTTTAGCATTTGCCCTACGTATGGTTAGGATTGGGAGAGGGGAAGCTGATCCTAGATCTGAACCTAGAGGAAACGTGTGTGAAACATGGCTTGAGGAAGCAGTTCAGCCTAGGAGGCTCCTGGTTGGGTGGATGACACAGCAGCAGCTGACATGGCGGCGGCGCTCTCCTTGTCATTTGGACACAAACAGCACATTGTTGTCACAATGTAAGAGCAGCCTGACTTTGATTGTGTTGTGAGGGGCTGCTGCCTTTAAACCGCTGGGAAAATAAAGACAAATAAAATATTAATTTTCTGATTAGGGCCATAGGACTCAAGATGCTGTCACTCAACGCTTCGTTGTTTAAGGACAAATAGCAAGGCTATGTTTTCTTGTTTCTTCTAGAAGTGTGTATATGTTTGTGTGTATGTGTGTTACCTCATGGGGTTTTCAGGCATTCTTTTTAATTGCAACAATGAATCTGGTGCTTAAAAAAAGCCCAATCCCCCAAGGTCTCCTTACAAAGAGGACCATGGGGATGGATTGAGGTGGGGGTGGGGGGCTCAGGCTCAATCTCGCAGCAAATCAGCAGGCCTGAAAATCCAATCTTCTCCTGGAGACAGCAGGCTTTACATCATTTGTCAGGGACTGGCACTATCAGCGCTTTATCAGATGGGAGGGTATGGGCTGCCTTTGTGGTTGATTTGAAATATTAACATAGGGCAATGGAGAAACCCAAACCAGACTTCTGACTGTATAGAAGTGAGGAGTCGCAGGCTGACACCAATGTTTCATACTGTAGCCGCTGTGGAAAAGGTGAAGACGATATTCTGTGGGAATGTGATAGTGATAGTCTCTGCACTGCCCTGTGGATTCCATCTTGTACCTCGTACCCCTGCACATTGACTCGGTACCAGTACTCCTTGTATATGTTCTGCCTGCGGTTATGGAACCCCTACCTGTCCCAGACCTGCTGTTTTCAACTCTTAATGATCGGCTATGAAAAGCCAACTGAGATTTATTCCTGATTATTATTTGACCATGCTTGTCACTTATGAACATTTTTGAACATCTTGGCATGGTTCTGTTATAATCTCCACCCGGCACAGCCAGAAGAGGACTGGCCACCCCTCATAGCCTGGTTCCTCTCTAGGTTTCTTCCTAGGTTTTCGCCTTTCTAGGGAGTTTTTCCTAGCCACCGTGCTTCTACACCTGCATTACTAGCTGTTTGGGGTTTTAGGCTGGGTTTCTGTACAGCACTTCGAGATATTAGCTGATGTAAGAAGGGCTATATAAAATAAAATTGATTGATTGATTGATATATAGCCTCATTGTTTTTATTGTGTTACTATTTCCTTTTTTTTTTAGCAAATATTTTACTTTTTAACTCTGCATTGTTGGGAATGGGCTTTGTAAAGCCAAGTTAACAAACAGATCACCGACCATTTCGAATCCCACCATACCTTCTCCACTATGCAATCCGGTTTCCGAGCTGGTCATGGGTGCACCTCAGCCACGCTCAAGGTCCTAAACGATTTTATAACCGCGATCGATAAAAGACAGTACTGTGCAGCCGTCTTCATCGACCTGGCCAAGGCTTTCGACTCTGTCAATCACCGCATTCTTATTGGCAGACTAAATAGCCTTGGTTTCTCAAATGACTGCCTCTTCTGTTTCACCAACTACTTCTCAGATAGAGTTCAATGTGTCAAATCGGAGGGCCTGTTGTCTGGACCTCTGTCAGTCTCTATGGGGGTGCCACAGGGTTCAATTCTCGAGCCGACTCTATTCTCTGTGTATATCAATGATGTTGCTCTTGCTGCTGGTGACTCTCAGATCCACCTCTACGCAGACGACACCATTTTGTATACATCTGGCCCTTCATTGGACACTGTGTTAACAAACCTCCAAATGAGCTTCAATGCCATACAACACTCCTTCCGTAGCCTCCAACTGCTCTTAAACGTTAGTAAAACTAAATGCATGCTCTTCAATCGAACGCTGCTTGCATCCGCCCGCCCGACTAGAATCACTACTCTTGGCGGGTCTGACTTAGAATATGTGGACAACTACAAATACCTAGGTGTCTGGTTAGACCGTAAACTCTCCTTCCAGACTCACATTAAGCATCTCCAATACAAAGTTAAATCTAGAATCGGCTTCCTATTTCGCAACAAAGCTTCCTTCACTCATGCTGCCAAACATGCCCTCGTAAAACTGACTATCCTACCGATCCTTGACTTTGGCGATGTCATTTACAAAATAGCCTCCAACACTCTACTCAGCAAATGGGATGTAGTCTATCACAGTGCCATCCGTTTTGTCACCAAAGCCCCATATACTACATTTACATTTTACATTTACGTCATTTAGCAGACGCTCTTATCCAGAGCGACTTACAGTTAGTGAATACATATTTTTTTTATACTGCCCCCCCGTGGGAAACGAACCCACAACCCTGGCGTTGCAAACGCCATGCTCTATCAACTGAGCTACATCCCTGCCAGCCATTCCCTCCCCTATCCTGGACGACGCTGGGCCAATTGTGCGCCGCCCATGAGTCTCCCGGTCGCGGCCGGCTGCGACAGAGCCTGGATTCGAACCAGGATCTCTAGTGGCACAGTTAGCACTGCGATGCAGTGCCTTAGACCACTACCCACCATTGTGACCTGTACGCTCTCGTTGGCTGGCCCTCACTACATATTTGTCGCCAAACCCACTGGCTCCAGGTCATCTATAAATCACTGCTAGGCAAATCCCTGCCTTAGCTCATTGGTCACCATAGCAACACCCACCCGTAGTATGCGCTCCAGCAGGTATATCTCACTGGTCATCCCCAAAGCCAACACCTCCTTTGGCCGCCATTCCTTCCAGTTCTCTGCTGCCAATGACTGGAACGAACTGCAAAAATCTCTGAAGCTGGAGACTCTTATCTCCCTCACTAACTTTAAGCATCAGTTGTCAGAGCACCTTACCGATCACTGCACCTGTACACAGCCATTCTGAAATTAGCCACCCAACTACCTCATTCCCATATTGTTATTTATTTTGCTCATTTGCACCCCAGTATCTATATTTGCACATCATCTTCTGCACATCTATCACTCCAGTGTTAATACTAAATTGTAATTATTTAGCACTATGGCCTACTTATTGCCTTACCTCCATAACTTACTACATTCGCACACACTGTATATAGATTTTCTATTTTGTTATTGACTGTACGTTTTGTTTATCCCATATGTAACTCTGTGTTGTTGTTTTTATTGCACTGCTTTGCTTTATCTTGGCCAGGTCGCAGTTGTAAATGAGAACTTGTTCTCAACTGGCTTACCTGGTTAAATAAAGATGAAATAAATAAAAAGTAAAGTCTACAACTGTTGTATTCGGCCCATGTGACAAATACAATTTGATTTGATTTGAATAGAGCCACACTGTTTGAATCGTGCCATTACACAAAGTGGGTGATGGAAAACATATGCTTGTCAGTAAGTCACCCTAGCTTTAGAGACCAGAAAGCCCGAACTAGGTCAGAGTATATGTATATGTACTGTTTGCTCCAGTCACCTTATCACTAGTAAACATGGAGGTAGATGTGTCTGTGTCATCCATCTCGACAATCAGAGGGAGGCGAACTCTCTGTGTTCCAGCCTTGACTCGTCCATCACCATCATCTCTATTGTTCGGAAGACACATTTCAGTTGAATGCATTCAGTTGTACAACTGACTAGATAACCCTCATTCCCTTTCCACAGCTGAGACCACAGGGATCTCCCCTCACACCCCAGCATTTCTCATTATAGGATTCAATCCAATCCAAAAATATGCTAAGAATAGTTTGGAATGGATGGAATCATAGGGCTATTGCAGTTACTCCCCCCTTTCCGTTAACTCTCCCCCAAACTCCCCACTTAGACCTTCCTCACCCCACCCTCCATGTCCAGCCCCTCACACACCCAAATTACTGAGGGATACTGGGAAGTCAGAGCAGCAGAACAAAGCTCTCCAAATCAGCTCCCTGAAGAACGAGATGTCTGACAATGCTGACAGCACAACCTGCCATCCAAGGTGCAGAGAGAGAGAACTTTTTAACAGACTCAACTACCAACCAGTTAGTACACAGACACAGAGTGCTCTCGGAGCATGAGTTTGTGCATATTTGGAGGTGGACTTGACCACCGGGGCAATTTCCTCACCCTGTTGATCCTTGCTGGGGTTCGACCGAC